TGCCGCAGGTGGACCGCGGCGGCGTCGCCCATAGGTCTCCGGGCTCGGATCTTCGCCCGCGCTCGAGGGGCCATGGGCGCGCCGCGTCACGCGCGCCGCTGGGCGCAGGAATATCAAGGCCAAAGCGACGCTCCTCCCAGGAGCGAAGTGTTCGACGAATTCTGCGCGGTCGTCTCGCTCTCGGCGTGCAACGGCGCACGCGCTGGGGCTCGGAGCGGCGCGAGTGGATTTTTATGACGGACGCCAGCAACTTCGGGGTTCGGCATCGTGGCGAGCCGTGCGGGCGTCGGCGAGATAAGAGCTCTGCGCGAGGCGGGGGGTGAGCAGGGGCGGTCGACCAGTCTGCGCGAGTCCTACTGAGAGGTGAAGGAGCGAAGGCGGAGGCGGACGCCCCGGCGCACCGGCACCTTGCGCGGGAGAAGGGGGCGAAGCGGGATCGTGGGAATGCGCCTGGGTTTGGCGGGCTCTTCGCGGGTTCAGGCCGACTCTCAGGGGCGGTCAGACGTTCTCGATTGAGTTGGGTGGAACCGTGGGGGGGCGACCAGGGCCCGAGGTGCGACCCGGGGGGGACCTTGCGAAAGTGGGGCGTCTTGTCGGGGACGTGGATGCGAGAGTTCCGCTGGCTGGTCCATCTGGCTCGCCCGCGCGCGACCTGGCCCAGAGCGCGAGCGCGCCGCCGTGCCCCAAAGGAGGCGCGGAGACTCGAATGCCTCAGCGCGAAGGATCCGGAACTGGTGGACGAGGGCACCTACCCGACGATGATCGCGGCGGAGGTTGTCGAGGAGTGCCTGAAGCGAAGGTCTTCTTCAGCCTGGAGGACCCTGCGAGCTCGCTTTGTTGACCGTTCCCGCCGGCGATGGAGATCAGAGAGCAGGAAGGCGTCTATTTGGCGTGCCAGGACATTTGCGCGCGTGGGGCTGCGCGGAGAAAGCCTGCGCGGATGATGACGAAGGTGCCGGAGCCCGATGAGCAAACGTACGGGGTCGACCAGCAGGTGCTCGAGAACAGGGCGCTCCCGTCGGCCCCCGCGAGGTGGCGTGCTCAGGGGGGCCCTGGGTTGCGAGGTCACGGCGGAGCGGCGCTGGACGAGGGTGGCATGCCCTTGCCCAGACGAGCTGCGCGAAGAATGCGCGAGGCCTGTTGCTTCGATGGCGCCGCTGCGCGCAAAGCCAGGAGCTGCGCTGGCGGCGGAGAGGCCGCTCTTGCTTGGGCTTCTTAGTGGTGAAGGATGTCGTTCCCGACTCGGTGGCGCACGTGGGCCGCTGGCACTTGGCGGCGGATGGCACCTGGAACCGCGACGAGCACCTGAATGCTCTCGAGTGCCGCACAGCGGTCAAGGCACTTCGTCGGCTTCCTAGGTGCAGGCGGAACTGGAGCCACAAGGTCGTGCTTATCACCGACAACCGAGTGAAGATGGAATGCTTGGGCCAGGGTCGTTCGTCGTCATGGGCGTTGCTGAAGCAGGCGGGGCCAGTGGCGTCATCCAGCTAGTGTAACGCATTCGGCCGAGGTTCCGCCAGGTGAGCTCGCAACGCGGCAGATGGTCCGTCGAGAGGTGCTCCGCTCGGGCCCGACCCCGACGCGATCAAGCAGGGATAGTTGAACGTGGGTGTTTCGCCCCGAAGTGCGAGGGCACGTCTGTTGGGCATGGCAGAACACCAACGATGTGGAGGACGGTACTAGTGATTCTTCTACTGTGTCTGACTATGCTTGCCGGTGCAGGGCGGCAGGATGAGCTTAGGGAACAGGCTCGTTGTCTACATGCAGCAAAGGACGAGTTTCGAGGTTTTGCGGAGCTGCCCAAGCCATTGGTTGCGTTTGTCCTTCTCCGCAAGCGAGGCGCCAGAGCCTAGAACCCAGATGACGAGCATCCGTTTGGAGATTTGGCGAAGCCCGTCAGCGAGCTGCTGGCGCACAAGGTCTCGGATAGCACGAACAAGATCTACGTGAAATGGATCAAGGGGTTGCTGGAGGACGTGCGCCTGCACGGGGTGGCCTTCGAGACTCATGAAGAACGTGGTCGTTTGCTGGCGGCCTACGTATCATACCTGTGCTGCTGCAGCGGTCTGTCCCATATTTGTGGAGGGCATATCCTGACAGGTTTTGTGCATGTCTTCCCAAAGCATAGGAATGTGCTCCCGTTGGCGTCGAGAACCCTGTCGGCGTGGCTGACTTTCACAATGGCCCAGGCTGGTGGCAGTTTCTGTCGTAAAGTTGTCGGGGTCCTCGTTGGCGATCTGTTGGGACGAGGCGAAGTCATACCAGTCTGGGGTGTGTTCGTTTCGCATGGCACGTTCTGCCGCGAAGAAGATTGGGCGTCGCTTCGAGTTGAATCTGGTCTCACTGGCGACGACCTGGCCATAATGTTCGGCGACCGACGTCGAGGTGACGAGGTGAAGACGGGCTCCAAACAAGGGTTCCTTGCATTGCAGGACCCCCGGTCGCAGCAGCTCCAGTCAGAGGGCCAGTGTCAGGGTGCGGTGAAGGAGACCTCGTCTTCCCCATCAGTGTCGCGGAGTACAGAAGACAGTGGGCCATCGGCATGCTGAGGATCGGTCTCAGCCACATCGGCACGCCCCACAACGCGCGGCGCACCGCGGCTGGCGAGTTCGTGGCACGAGGCGGCACGCTCGAGAGCTGTCGCTGGCGCGGACGCTGCATCGATTCAGAGGTATACGGACACGCGTCAAATAGTTTAGGTTCGCGCCAGTCTGTCAACTCAGCAAGTAGAGCAAGGCCGAAGATGTTGGGCCGCTGCCCATGCTGTTCTCCAGGAAGCCTGATCGAATTATGAGTGCTTCCGTCTCGTCGACACTGCTGGACTCCGATGGCGTCTGGTTGCCACCGGGGCGACTGCGTGCACGTGGCCCTGGGGAGTGAACCTGATTATGTGAAATGTTTACTGCGTGATTTTGCGCCTGTCCGAAAGAAGAGGCCTAGATGAAACTTGGATTTGTTCTGCTTTGTCTGGTCCTTCCCGGCCCACCAGGTGCCCACCCACAGAAAGAAAAAGCGAACGATGAACCAGAGTAGCAAGTTAGGTTGACAGCAAGCAGGGCCCTGCTAAGCTAGTGTGTTTCGCGGGCCCGCGTTCTGCCTGCCCCGCTTCTCAAAGTACGTAGAATCCTCAGGGGCTGTCTATCATATAGGCGCGTCACATCGTCGGGGGCTCGCGAGGTGTGGTGCTTGAAGTCTGGCCAGGCGTTTTCGGACCAAACGGTTGAGATACGGAAGATCTACCCCCCTTGTATGACCGAAAACGAAGTGGGCGGGTGCCGATGGTTTGGGATAGACTTGTAAAATGGCACGCGAGCAGACAGGGCGAACAGTCTGAACATGCGTGTTGTTGTTGCTATGGGTTTGGTGGTGGTGTTGCTGTTGTTGCTCTTAGTGTTGTTGTTGGTGGTGGTGTTATTGTTGTTAGTGGTATTGTTGTTGTTGGTGTTGCTGTTGCTGTTGTTGTTAATGTTGATAGTGGTGGTGGTGGTGTTACTGTTGTTGTTGCTGATGTTGATGTTGTTGTTGCTGCTGTTTCTGGTTTTGCAATTGCTAGTATTGTTGTTGTTGTTGTTGCTGTTGCTGTTGATGTTGGTGTTGTTGCTATTGTTAGTCTTGGTGTTGTTGCTCCTATTGACGGTATTAATGGTATCGTTGGTGTTGGTGGTGTTGGTATTGTTGTTAGGGCGGTTGTTGTTGGTGGTGTTGTAGTTGTTGTTGCTACTGTTGTTGTTGTTGTTGTCGTTGTTAGTTGTTGGGTTGGTGTGTTTGTTAATGTTGACGTTGTTGTTGATGGTGTTGTTGCTGTTGTTGTTATGGTTGTTGAAGTTTCCGCCCTAAAACAGGAGTGGGTGTTGATCCCGCTTGACTGGTAACCGCTGTAAGTTTCAGTTCACGTGCTTCCCCCCGGGGCTTGCACCCTATCGTTTGCAAGGGAAAGCGGGGTGGCACCAAACCGGGCCCCCGGCTTCCGAGTTTTAACAACAACGGTTTCCGCCCGACGTTTCCTCACACATTGTTCCAAAATCGCGCTCTCGCGCGGGACAGCCTCACATGTCATGCAGGAATCGCGTTTTCGCGTGTCACTTCTTTGTAATTTATTCCGAAGCCGCGCCCCCGACGCTCAAGAATCAGGCTCTCGCTTTTGCCTTTCTCACGGTCAACTTGGGAATCGTGCTATCGTTCGAAATTTCCCTGCGATTCATGCAGCATTCACGCTTCAGCAGCCCGCCTGCTCGACCTGGCCGCTTGGGCCCGCCCGTTAGGGTCGCTCGATGGGCCCGTCTGGTTCTGCCACGTGCTTTCTGCTCCTAGCCCCCTTCTGCTAGTTCTGCGTTCCATCCTTCTCCCTCCTCTCCCCCTTCCATCCGTCCTCTCTTCCCCTGTTTCAGGGTCTGTGCCGATTACGCGCGGCAGGTAACCAAGATATACCCCCAGGGGGGTACGATCGAAGAAGAAGAGGGTGGGTACCGAGCGTTTGGGAGGTACGTTTTGAATGACACGCGAGCAGGTAAGAGCGAACAGTCTTAAAATGATTGTTGCTGTTGCTGCTGGCAATGCTGTTATTGCTCGTGTAAGTTGGGGGCCAGGGGCCCTGTTTGGTGACACCAGGTGTTCCCTGACAAAGAACCGGTAGAACATGCAACGGTCACCGAAGGGGGGATCATCACGACTCATCGTAAGCGATGATTCAACAACAACAACGCAACAACAATCCGCATCGCGGAACCCCACTTCAGCCCCGCACCCAGGGACAGTGCATGACCGTTCGGCCTTCTCGCTCTCATCAACTGCGTCTTGGACTCTCTGGGAAGTGGCGCCAAAGGGCCGAGGCGCAGTGGAGCTGGATACAATCTATCCTCCAGGGGCCAGATGTTTATCCATATCCACTGCACCTCGGGTGCCTGGGAAAGGAAGCTCGGAACTCCAAAGTGCAGTGGAGTTGGATACACATTTTGCCCGCACCCGCCTCTCCCCTTGCTGGCCCAACCGCGAGCGGCCAGGTGCAGAGACTGGCGAAGGGCGCGGACATGGAGGTGTCCCACGGCTCCCTGCTTTTCTTGCCGTTCCGCACCAACAAGAAGAGGGAGGGCCAGGACGCCCCTCGGGGGTAGAGCCGGCCGCGACCCGTGAAGCTGCGGGGCTCATCCTTCTAGAGCCTAGAGGGCCCTTCGGCTTCGGCACCGCCCCTCTTGAGAGAACGTTGCTGCGGTGGGCGCCCCTGGGGGCGGGGGGGAGGCAAGGAACCGCCGCACAGGCTGCCCCAGTTGTGGCTGGCCGGGGCCAGCCGCACGCACACTGGGAGCCGGCGGGACGGAATCTGAGAGGAGGTCCGTCCAGGCCTGGGCCTGCCTTGGTGCGTGTGTGTGTGTATGTGTGGGTGCGTATGTGCGTGTGTGTGCGTGTGTGTGTGTGCGTGTGTGTGTGTGTGTATGTGTGTGTGTGCGTGCGTGCGTGCGTGTGTGTGTGTGCGTGTGTGCGTGCGTGTGTGTGTGTGTGTGTGTGCGTTCGTGCGTGCGTGCGTGCGTGCGTGCGTGCGTGCGTGTGTGTGTGTGTGTGTGGTGTGTGTGTGTGTGTGTTTGTGTGTGTGTGTGAGCCGCGAGTGACCCCGTCGATCTCCTATGTGTGGATCCTGGGTCCCCACGCCGCGTGACCTGGGCCGGCCGCTCTCTTCGCTCGACTTGCTACGCCGCGCCGCCGCCACGCGCGTGGACGGGACGTCAAAAAGTGTGCGTGTGTGCGTGTGTGTGTGTGTGTGTTTGTGTGTGTGCGTGTGTGTGTGTTTGTGTGTTTGTGTGTGTGCGTGTGTGTGTGTGTGTGCGTGTGTGTGTGTGTGTGTGTGTGTGTGTGTGCGTGTGCGCTGTTTTGTTTTCCGACCTTCTACGCCCTGTCGCCGATCGCAGGGCCGCGACGCCCAAAATGTTTGTGCGTGACTGTGCACAATATTTGCCCGGAGCCATGGCTCAAGGCACTTTGGGTCGAAGTTGGTTGGCGAGGCCTAGGGGCCAGTCGCCCCCCTCCGGTGCCATGTCCTCGTCTCCTGGCGTGCCGCGGACGGCGCGGCGCCGCGCCCAGCGCCTGGCGGAGGCCGCGCGGCTGGCCGCCGCCCTAGCTGCCGCCGGCGGCGGCACCCCTGGCTTGGTTGCGGGGTTGCCCTGCCAGCCGCTGGCGGGCGCCGCTCACTTGGCGGCCGCCTCGGCCCGCGCCGTGGCCGCCCGTCCGGCGGCCGCGCGCCCCATCGCGGTTCGTGGACTTCGCCCCCCGCGGCGGCCGCTCGGGCGGCCGCCGGCGCGGGCCAGGCCGCTGGCGCCCCTGTGGCGGCCTTATCGCCCGCCGCTGCGCGGTGGCCGCGGCTGCTGCCCTCTCCGCGGCGGCTGCCAGCGCGGCTGCTGCTTCGGAAGCCGCTGCGGCTGGCGCCTGCGTCGCGGTCCCGGCGGCCGCTGCCGCGGCCGCGGCCGGGGCGGCTTCTTCTGTCGCCCTGGCTGCCGGCGCCGTGGGCGGCGTGCCTCTCGAGTGCGGGCTGGGCGCGCTGGACCCGGCTGGCTTCTGGGATCCCGCTGGCTCCCCGGTGCCTTGGAAGCAGCTGCAGGGAAGCATGCCGGGGGTGAATGCAGCTGTGGAGGTAAGACGGTGCTTTCCGGGCGTGCCCATGAGATGTAATGCACGACGGGCGCTGAGCCTTACGATCATCATGAATTCGATTATACCTTGCACCTGTCATGTGTGGCGGTGTGGCAGATCGCCTTCACGGCGCACGAGACGTCGCTGGAGTACAGCATTGCGAACGCAGCCTTGGGCTTTACAGATGGTGATGGTTATCGCGGTCACCTGCTCTTGCTGTGTTTGGCAGCATGCGTACTTAATCGTTGTCATCCTGTTCTTCCTGGCGCTGATTGGGCGTACTGTGCTGCTCCAGCATATTTCATATTTTGTGGTCTGACATTTTCCCCATCGGGCTTCCGAGGCGCCCTATGTTCTTTGCGTTGCTGTCGGAGCTGACGCTGGCTCCCTACAATTCGGGTAGCGGTTTGTTTCTTGGCGTCAAGTTGGTAGTTTGTGTGACTTGCGTGTTTTTTTTTGCGTTCGACCGGGCGGCGCGTCTGCCGCTTCCCTTGGAGCCCCAACTGGCGAGGCAGTTCATCTGACATGCTGGCGATCTTTGACGGGCACAGAAGCGCCGCGTCTTTCTCATCGGGTGCCGAGGGCTTGCGAAGCCGTTATGAGGATGTTGGGGTCGCGCGGTTTCCGCGGCAATGCTGCGCGCGGACTTCGAGCTTGCCGCGCAGGCGTTGCCGGATTTTGCCCATGGGGCTGTCAGATGGCGGCCCGCGGCGGCTGTGCCGAGGGCCAGGGAACTGCCGCGCGCACGTGGCGAAAAGGGGGGAAGGGGGGGGGGGGGTCGGACCCCCCCCCCCTTTTGAAAGGGGGGGAGGGGGGGGGGGTCCCCGACGACGGGTCGGGGAAAGGCGGGGAGGGGGGGGGGGGTCCCCGACGACGGATCGGGGAAGGGGGGGAGGGGGGGGGGTCCCCGACGACGGATCGGGGAAGGGGGGGGGTTTCTAACCCCCCCCCCTTGGGGAGATCCAGCGGCGCACCCTCGCTGGTTCCCCCCTCTCGGCGCTCCTCCCGCCGCAGCCGGTGACTTGCCTGAGCGGGCCTGGCTTCCCTTCTTTCCGTTGCGCCCGGGTCTCCTCCTCTTCCCGCGTGCATCGCGGCCTGAATTTGCATCCAATGCGCCCCCCCGATGCCCAATCGCCGGAGCAGCCGCCCTCTGCCCAGCCGCCGACGCAAGAAGTGTATTTTTGTTTGTGCGTGTATGTGTGTATGTGTATGTGTGATTTTGTGTGTGTGTGTGCGCGTGTGTGCGTGTGCGTGTGCGTGTGCGTGTGCGTGTGCGTGTGCGTGTGCGTGTGCGTGTGCGTGTGCGTGTGCGTGTGCGTGTGCTTGTGCGTGTGTGCGTGTGTGTGTGTGTGTGTGTGCCTCCGTAGCCCTCGCCGCCGCCGCGCCTCTCCGTCCCGCCACGCCCGGGCCACCTTCCGATCGGAGGTGCACGCTCGAGCCGCCACCGACCGCCACGCTGGTCACGGTTGGCTTCGGCTCCCTCGGTGCGTTGGCTCTTCTGCAGTTTTTGTTGCCTCGGGCTGCCTCGCCCCTGCGGCCTCCGCCCTAGGCAGGGCCGCCCACCCCGCCCCCTTCCGCCTGGGGCCTGGGCTGGTTTTGCCGCCCACGCCATGTCCCGCGCGCCCCCTTGCTTTGCTTGGTTTGCAGGCCGAGCCCTCCCCTGAGGCGGTTCCACACTGGTCGCCGCTGGCCTGGGTGCCCTCGTGGCTTGCGCCACCTCGGCATCATGTGGCCCCTGGCGCTGCGTGCGCACCTTCACGCCAGCCTTCGCTGGGCACTGCTTCCCCCAGCACGGCCTGCTGCCTGGCGGCCTGCCATGCCGGCATCCCCCCCCCAGCCGCCGCCTTGCTGTTGCTGGCCCCCGCCCCTGGCGCCTCCCTGCCGCCGCCTGGCCCCGCTCTGAGCGGGCCCAGCTTCCGTTTTTTTCCTGCCACCGCCGGGCGTTCCTCCTCTTCCCCGTGCATTGCGGCTTAATTCGCATTCGTGTGCCCTACCAGTGCTCTTCCGCCAGCGCAGTCACTTTGCCTGGCAGCCGACGCAAAAATGTGCGTGTGTGTGAATGTGTGTGTGTGGTGTGTGTGTGTGTGTGTGTGTGTGTGTCTGTGTCTGTGTGTCTGTGTGTCTGTGTGTGCGTGTGTGTATGCGTGTGTGTGTGTGTGTGTGTGTGTTTGTGTGTGTGTTTGTGCCTCAACTCTGAGCGCGAGGCCGCGACGCTCCCCCCACCAAAAAACAGTGCGTGTATGTATTGAGGGGCCCCTGGCCCACAGCGGCCATGGTTCCTCCTGCCCCCGTGGTAGATCGTGTTTCCTCGTCTGCGTCTCCGTGATCAAGAAAGGCGAAGATCGGAGCAAATGGCAGCAAACGACTGCATGACATCGCTTCCGTTTTCGCAGCGGTGCCGTGCGCGCATTCAGATAGGATGCCCATCAGGCGCGCGCGCAAGGGCAGCCGTGCCTCGGAGGATGCCACAGGTGGTCATTGCCCAAGGTGCTCACAGCATGTATTAGATTCTGCTGCCCCCCACACAGACAGGGGAAGGTGTGGGCTTTCGATCGTTTGCCCCTCCGCTGGGAATTCGAGAGCAGCAGGGAGCTGGCTTCCGGAACGGAGCGCAGCTCCCATGGACTCTTTCTTTGCGGGGACGCCCGACACAGCAACGCTAATATTAGTCAAGATGTTTACGCCATTCTGCCCACCCCTAGGCGAAGCGAGGAGCCCGTGGAAACTGCTAGGGCGTCACTTGTTGCACAATACACCTTAGGCGATGCTTAAGAAAACTTAAGTTTTCGGCCAGAGTCTCGATTATTCTTAATTTTTCAATGCAAATCCTAAGAGTTTAATGGACATGTTGGGTTTTTATTCAAGTTCTGAGACTATGAATTTCTTAACCCATGATTTCTTAAGCATTTCGCAAGGTGTATTGCCCCCACATCTGCATCCACGTTGGGCTGACATGTGTTTGGCAATGGATCGGAGAGCTGGATCCCAGAGCGTGGCGCAATCGTCACGGGCCTTCCTCATTGCGAGGGCGCCCGGCGTAATGATGCAGATTATAGTTAAGTTCCGCGAGGAAACGCAACAGGAATCAAGTGGATCCGCATGCATTGTCCAGCAGAAACTGTCGAATTTTTATTTGATATCAGTACGTGGATGAGAATGTCTCAGGCGACGCCAGTGTGTTTGCGTTCGGTGCACGACGCAGCGCAAGTGAGGGTGTATGGAAAACGCCGGAACCCGAGCTGTTGGGGAAACTCCAGGGGAAATATTGGAGAGGAGCCCTTAGGGGCCGTCGTGGGGCTGTCTTGGGTTTTTTACAGCACCATGGGCAGAAGAGTGCGCAATTGGGAATTCTCTGGCAATGAGATACTGAGGAAAAAGGCGCGGTGACACGACCATGAAGCCGAACCAAAACGCTTCACGATTGCGAGGTCGAAAACAGAGCGCTCTTCGATAGTGAAGCCGGAGTTGAACGCCACACGAGTTTGGAGCACAGATACAATGGAAGAGGTGGGGGAAGCAGGGAGGGAAGGCCAGAGAGAGAAAGGAAGGTTGCGATGCAAATTGCGACAGTTAGGTAAGCGCGTGCACTGTCGACGCCCATTACTTCCCTCTTGCGTCGCGCAGACCCGTCTCTAAGAGCTCCGTTTTCATTGACACATAGTCGTTTTGCATACGACCTTGCGGCATACGTGTCAGTATTATTGCACAGTCTCTGTTGGCAGTTTTTTTTTGTTGCGTTTGGGTCGTACGGGGCCTCCTGGGGTTGCCTCAGGGCGCTCCTGAGCCTTCTGGCGCCTTCGGAGACCGTGTTCGGGGCCTCTCTGGGCTGTCTTGGGGCCATCTTGAGGTTATTTCGGAGAGTTTTGAAGCGATAGTGTGGCCGCCTTGAAGCCATCTTGGCGTCCTCTGGGGGCTTAGTTTGGTTGCTTGGGGCTGGTATTGCTTCCCTTGTTGGTCGTTCTCGGACGCTCTGAAGACCGAAAAGGCGAGAGTCCGACAAATATTGAAACACCCATGGCTTCTATTGCTTTGGCTTCTTAGGACGATCCCGAGGGCCTCCAATGCGGCCCGAAAAGCCCACCTCTTGGACCCTCTTGAGGCCATCTTGAGACCATCTTGGTCGTCTGGGTTGGGGGGCGTCTTGGACCGTCTCGGGCCGTCTTGGAAGCCAGGATCGGAAATCCTGGCTTTCTGCGGAGAGGGGCAGGGGGAGGTGGAGGAAAGTATTGCTCCTCCTGGTATTCCTGAACTCTGGAGCGTGCCGTGGCGCCCTAGCACTGCTGAAGATGTTGGCTTGCCTGCTTGCTTGTTCGCCTGCGAGATCCTTGCTTGAGCCAGGGCCAGGCGGCAGCCATGAAGCCAGAGCCCAGGGATGGGGCCAGATGGGGTCCGGGGGGACGTCTGTTTAGCAGCCCGTTTCAATGCTTCTGGTTTTGCCTATGCTCTGTTTGCGGCGGTCACTCCCTTCTTCCATTGCAGTTCGGAACAGTCCGCGTCCAACCTGTGGCAGCCAGACTCTGTGTGCGACGTCATGTGAACAGGGTAGACTTGCGCGGGGATCTTGGGGCCGAAGGGGGGAGCCGTCCCCCGCATTCTTGTCCAGGCCCCAGAGCCGCTCTCTCCTCGGGCGCTGCCAGAGGTGACCCAGGCCCAGGGTGCCTCCAGATTTGCGGGGATGCCCAGGTGGCCTCCAGCGTACCCAAGGGGTACGGAAAGACGTGGGCACTGGGCCAGGCTCAATTCTGGCAACCGCCCACGCCTGCGCAGCCCCTGCCGCCCTGCGCAGCCTGTCCTCGGCGCAGGACGTGCACCGGACGCAGTTGACCGTTCGCATCGACGACCAGCTCAGGGACGACCCCCCAGCGTGCCCGCGATATCGCGCGCTCAAATTAGTTTCCTGACAGTCCACTCCGCATTTGAGATCCGGGGCTTGAGGCAGCGATGGGTCTCGACCGTATCTGTTTGGGAGTAAGCCCAAGGGGAACAAATCCAGAGTCCAACATGATGGAAAAAGTCAATCGCCGAGGTGCTAGCCAGTAGCGGGATCAGCACCAAGGTACGGGCATCGACGCGCCACGAGCGGCAGAGATGCCCCACCCCTGATTGAAGAGTGCGCAGAATCACACGTCAGCTCTCGATACTAAAGCATGTGCGTATGTACCTGTCAGAGGTCTGCTCGGATCGTTTGGCTCGGCTCTGCGCCGCCCCCCTCCCCGCCCCCCACGCGCTCCGCGCGCCGGGAAGGTGTGCGGGAAGGAGGGTCAGCGACAGCCCAAGGAATCCGCGGGGACCCAGTGTGCTGACACCTCTCCGCGCCAGTGCTCGAAGACTGATCGGACACAGCGTCCCGAGCCGTCGGAGTTTGCACGTGCGCGGGGTCCCCTTCGCCCCGACTGGGGCGTTGTCTGGAAGGGGTGGCCCCGGCCCGCCCCGCCAGCTCTGCGTGCCGACCACGGGATCATAGACTCGTTTCTCCTGCGATTGCGGCTCGTGCGGTCGCATGGTATTCAAGAATTGGCATCCCCACCCACTTCGCCGACGCAGCCCGCGCAGATGCCGAGCCGGCCCTGCTTTAGACAATAGCAGCATGCTTGAATCGGAGGTGCCCCTGGTCGATAGAGCAAGCTTCAACGTGCGTGATTGCATTGTGACCTGCGGCTCATCCAGGGAGCGTGCCTCGGTCCTGTACTGGAGGGCCTCCTGCCGGCCTCTGAAACGTTCCTCTTTTTGAGGCCTCTTCGGGGACTCTCTCGGTGTTTCGGCAGCGTGCCAGGGGCGAAGTGACTCACTAAGAATTGAGGGGGGGGCAGGCCTTCTCAGAAGACGGCGGGGCTTCTCAGAAGCCCTCCGGCCTTCTGAGAGGCCGTCCTTGTCGTCGGAGAAGGCTTAGAGAACTTCCCAGAGGCCCAGAGGCCTTCCGAGCCTCCTGAGAAGGCCCGCCCCCTCTGACTTCCCCCCTGGGCTTGCCACCAACTCTTGCCAGCTTCTGAGACGTTTCTCTCCTTGAGGCCTCTGCGGTGACTCTCACTATCGGTGTTTGGGGGGGGGGGTCCTCTCGGAAGCGGAGTGTCCCGGCGGCCTGGCAAGGTGCGCCCTCCGTGGCCGAGTACCAACGAAAATCAGCAGGAAAGGACACTTTTTTCCGTCAGAGGCGAGGCGGCGACATCCGCTCCAGCGAGAAGCTAGATAAAGGGCACTAGCTAGCGAATTGGCCGGCGAGCAAAGAGGGGGGGGGGGGGGGGCTACGGCCGAGAGGAGGAAGGAACGCGCAGGAAAGGAAACACACAGACACAAATAAACGTCGATTCCCAGGGAACTGCGGAACAGATGGGAAGGAGGGGGAAGACGAGAATCCAGAAAATTTGCGAAAATAGTGGGAATCCTAGGATTTGTGTATGTATATGTCCTGGGTCTTCTGGGTTTCACGCGCCAGGCCCCAGCAGCGCCAACTGATTCTGGCAAATCGAGGGCCCCCTCTACCGCTTAAGCGTGCCTCCGTCTATACTGGAGGGCCTCTCGGCGGCCTCAGACGTTTCGCTCCTCGAGGCCTCTTCGGTGACCCTCTATGTGTGTGAGGGTCCTCTTGGACGTGGGCTGTCCCGGCGGCCCAGCCCGGAGCGCCTTCTGGGGCAAAGCGCAGCGAGAAGCTTGTGGTTTGCCCAGCGTTGTGGGTCTCTGGGTCTCTTGCGCCAGGCCCCAGCAGCGCCCGCGGATTCCGACAGATCGGGGGCTCGGCCCTACAAGCCCCTGTGCCACTTGCAGGTGCATCAGCCTCGGGGCTCTCTCTCTCCCTCTCTCTGTCGATCCATTGCGCTGCAGGCACCGTGGCGGATATTGATTGTGCGTTCGGTCTGTAATTTGTCCTTGCAGCGATCTGCGCATTCGGCCGACCAACCTTGCGCGTTGTTCGCGTGGTCTGCTTGTTCAGATGCCAGACTGCCAGACATGAACCATAGGGGGCTCCACCGAAGGCTCTGGTGGCAGGGTCCGCATGCGGCTAACCCAGCATAGTTCACGAAGGGTTGTGGACTCTGGGAGCACGAGCGCGTTGCAATTTGCAAGGGGGGTCTGTTAAACGTGCGGCATTGGGAACGCAAACGTGATGTCATTGAATAGGGATTGTGGTTTCGGGTGTTTTGTTTTACGTGTCCCAGAGGGCCCCCATAAAATGCTGAGCACGTGATCCTGGGGTGGGAGTGGGGCGCTTTTCGGCATTTGGGGTCCCGCGCGGATTTGAAACGTTACACCATGGGAACTGCAATACAGGAAACGCGCACCTTTAACACTGGGAATTGGAACTGTTGCAAGGAACTTGGAGCCATTCTCATCGCAGCCTGTTGGCATCCCGGGGGGGTCCTGCGGACCTTGTGTGTCAGCGATGCCCCCGGGAGGCGCCGCCCAAATTTTTGTTCAGTCCCCATCATCCTAAGGGAGGTTCTTGCTCCCCACATCCGAAGGAGGGTTCACCTCAAACACCCCGCGCAGGCCTCACCTCAAACACCCGACCCTTTTTAACAATTTCGCACACATCGCTATCGTCATCGCGATCAACATCGCCATATCATTATCCAGATGGAGGAGGTCTCGAGCGGGAGCCTCGTGTGTGAGTGAATATGGAAGAAGTATCGACAGGGAGCCCGCTTCCTATGATGGGGTGCCCACTTCATGTTGTTAATCCGAGCGGGTCATCGGGATACTGTAGCAAGCGTACCACTTGAGCACCCCAAGGAGACAACTCGTGATAATCTCTCCTTCGAGGGCCGCGTTTGCCAGTGACTAGCGAGGAAGTCTTGAGCGGGAGCCCTCTCCGATTGGTGTCCCCGTCTCATGTTATTAATTCCGAGCGGGTCATCGGGATACTGAAGCAGGCATCGCACTTGAGCAGCCCAAGGGCAAATCGTGAGGATGTCTCGAACTGGGGTCTCGTCTGCGAGTGACCAGCGAGGAAGTATCGAGTGGGAGCCCGCTTCGTGTAGTGCCTTCGCCTCATGTCTTCAATCCCAGCGGGTCATCGGGATACTGTGGCAGGCATTTCACTTCGATTGCTTTCCCCCCCCTCCTCCTCTTCCTAGCTCCCTGCCAAGCCCAGCTAATCTCCCTGCGAAGTCCTGCTAAGTTTTGCTATCCCGTGCTTAACCGTGCTAAGCCCTGGTGAGCACTGCCAGCCCCTGCCAAGGCGCTGCTGAGCCCTGCCAGTTCCTGCTAAGCCCTGCTAGTGAACCCTGCCAGCCCCTGCTAAGCCCTGCTAATCCCTGCTGCTAAGTGCTAAGTCACGTTGAGGAGCCCTTTTAGCGCGCTGCAAAATCACGATCTGCCCCGCCAAGCTCTGCCAAGCTCGTCTAAGCAGTGCTAATTATTGCCAGGCATTGCTAGGATGTCCCATGCTATGGGAAACCTTGAGAAATTGTGCGGCATCTGCGTAAGCTCTGATCCGGCCTTTTAAGCTCTGATTTGCCGTACGAGCTCGTGCTAAGCCTTGGCAGGCCATTGGCAGGCCTTGATGAGCCTTGCTAGGCCCTGTGAAGTCCTGGTAAGCTCTGCCTTGCCTTGCAACCTCTGCTAAGCCATCGTGTCGCCTGGCGAGATTGTCAGGCCCGTTAATCCCTGGCACTGGGCAACCCTGCTACGCTCTGCTGGAGCACGCCCAGCCCAGCCATGGCCTGCCACGCCCTGCTAGGGTCTGGCATGCCCTGCCAGCTTTACGAAGCTCCGCTACGCCCTGCTGGGCTCCGCCAAGCACGCGTTACCATTGCTGAGCCACGCTTCGTGTTGCTGTGCCCTGGTAAGGCCTGCGAAGCTATGCCAACCGTGGCTCAGCTTTGCGGGGGCCTGCTACGCCCTGCAAAGCCATGCTCATCTCTGCTGAGCCAGATTTAGCTCTGCTAGACGCTACTATTCTCTGCTCGGCCCTGCTGGGGTCTGATGGGCCATGGTCGGCCATAGTAGGCCGCGACAAACCATGGTATGGCATGCGAAGCCATGATATGCCCTGTTGCCCAGCGATCCTAAGTCGAGCTAGGCCATGATTTGTTGTGATGAGCCCATGGACATTCCTGGTAAGCAATGCTAGCGTCTGCCAGACATTGCTAAGATGCGCTGGGCTTTGGTGCGCCTTCTAAGCAGTGCTGGGCTCCTCTCCCAGGCCATGCTAGACTTTGCTAGGCATTGCGGAGCCCAGCTAAGAATTCGGATATGCCTGCGAAACCCTGTACCGCCTTGCAGAGCTTTGTGCATTCTGCTAAGCCCTGAAGGACTAGGCTGATTAGTTTGAAACGCTGGTATGACAGGCCAGGCCCTGCCAAGTCCTGATGAGTGATGAGCCTTCCTAACCCCTGGTCAGCCCTACTACCCTTTGGTGTACCCTACTTAGCTATGGTAGGCGTGAGGTTTGGCAGGCGTTGAGAAGCCCTGCTAATGTTTGCGAAGACCTGCCATGACATGGCAAGCCCTGATGAGCCACGCTAATGAGCCCCCCCCCACTAAGCACTGCGAAGCTTTGCGAGCACTTGCTAAGCCCTGCTAAACCCTGCTAGGCCATGGTGAACGCTTTCCTGATACGGTCTGCTAAGCGGCGATAGTCCTATGCCCAGCTTGGCCTCGCTAAGCCAGGCTAAAACATGCCAAGCCCTGGAGAAGCTCAGATAAACAATCATAAGCCCTGCTAATACCTGTTAGCCCTGATAAGACTGACTAAACCAGACTCACCCCTCAGCTCCGTCAGTCCTTGCGAAGCCATGCTAGGCGGTGCTAGGCCCTGCCAGGCATGTACGTCCCAGACATGCGTGTCTCATGTGTGCAACCCAGGTTAGCCAGAGAGGAGAGAGAGAGAGAGAGACAGAGAGTTAGAGCGAGGGAGACACAGAGAGAAGATAACGGTAATGATGAAGAGAAGGTTGGAGCTTCGTAGAATTTCTCTGGAACCCTGAGGGCCTCCACAAACCCCCGGCCTCTTTTCTTCCGGCTCCCCTCCACCCCTGAGCGCCGCGGCCCCATGCCTCTTGGGCCTCGCGTGATGGGTGGGGGATACAGGGGAGGGGCACGGAGGGCTGCCGAAAAGGAGCCCTTCAGGACCCCTGAACCTGAAGTGGTCCTTTCAGGCCCAAGAGGGCGCCTTTAGGGCCCGACCCCCCCATGTATCGCCCACCCCCCCTCCATTAAGCGACGCCCGAGGCGATGGCGGCGGTCACCATGGACTCTTCCTCTGATGCGCCGTGCCTCCTGGCCTTCTGACCTTCGGTGGCCTCCCCTCGTCGCCGCGGCTGGACGCGGCTCTGATTCAGAGCAGCAAGAGGTCGTCGTCGTCGTCGTCGTCGTCGTCGTCGTCCTCCTCCTCCTCCTCCTCCTCCTCCTCCTCCTCCTCCTCCTCCTCCTCCTCCTCCTCTCTCCTCGGTCCCCCCCTTCGATGGAGCGTTGCCCGATCCCCTCCACCACCAGAGCGCCGCGGCTCCGTCTTTCGGCCGGCCAGGACTCTGCAGGCCTCGAGCCCACCTGGTGCCCCTCGCCGTCGCCGGACGAGCCGCCGCAGGAGGCGGCGGCCTCGGGCACAGCGCGGCTTCCCCTCGGGGATCGCGCGGCCTGCTGCAGGTACCCCCGGCCCAAGGTGCCCCCCGCTTTTCGATCAAACCTGGCGTCCCTGGAGCCCTCTGGGCCTCATGCGGGGTGCTCTGGAGGCCATGGGCGCCTCCCTGGCTTGGGGGCACCTTGGGCCAGGGGCACTTCCAGCAGCACCCGATGCAGGAGCACTGTCGGACGAGGGCTAAGACGAGGGTCAATCCGTTCCAGCGCATTCCGGAGCGCTCTCAGAACGTTCCAGGACGCTCTGAGGAGGCCGCGGCCTCGGGCACCGCGCGGTCTCCACTCGGGGTTCGCGCGAGGTCATGGCCGCCGAGCGCGGCGCTGGCCAGCTGCCTGCAGGAACACTGTCGGACGGGGGCTGAGACGAGGATTGATCCGTTCCAGAACGCTCTGAGAAAGCCGCGACGCCCGAGACATCCTCCGGAACACTCTGAATAAGCCGCGGCCTCGGGCACCGCGCGGCCTCCCCTCGGGGTTCGCGCGAGGTCACGGCCGCCGAGCGCGGCGCTGGCCAGCTGCCTGCAGGAACACCCTTGAGATCCGGGCGTTGCATTTTTTTCACGAGGCGTTTTGGCTCGTTTTGGGGCTCCGAGACCCTCGCAGATCGATGCGGTTCGAAAAATGACGCAGAAAGATGGGGTCCGGAGCTTCGGTGGTGATTTTGTCAGGATGTCGCAATTTTCTGCAACGTCGGATCTCAGGGACTGTCTGACGGGGCTAAGACGAGGATCAATCCGTGCAGAGTGATGCGGAAAGCTCTGAGAAGGCCACGGCGCCCGATGCATCTTCCAGAGCCGCCAGATCTCAGAGATTCTCGATTTCTCCTCTTCCGAATTTATCCTCGTCTTGGCTTCGTCTTACACTGGCTGGCTTTCCCGCCACTCGTGGGCGACGAACAGATCCGTAGCCGAGGCCTCGCGGGTCTGGCCCCCGGCCGCGTCCCCGTTGATGCTCACATTTCCCTTTTCCAGGAGCCGTTTCGAGCGATGTTCCTCCCAACCCCACCTGTGCCCCTGCCCCACCTTTACGTCCCCCTGGCAGGGTCCAGGACACGTTTCCCTCATGGCCCGCTTCCCCCACGCCACACGGATACGGAGTTGTGATTCGTCGCTCGTGGCGCCAGGTCGCAGGCGCCGTGGCACCCGCGTATCCCCGGGGCAGCGGCTCCGGCTGCGGCAGGGCGTGGGGCGTGCAGGGCCGCGCAGCTTCGGGGGCGGGCAGGGTCACGGCACCATCGGCATCACCCAGACGTGCTACTGCGTGTGCGCCGCCCCCCACCCCCAGGGGCGACGCGCGCGCCGAGAAGTTCCGTATTGTGAGCTCCGTGGCGGGCACTTTCTGGCTACACCGTTCGAGAAACGATATACGACAAGATGGTTGTGCCATCCGTTCGGGTCGGACGGGAGCCTCGGACTCCGAGGAGGACACAAATTACTAGTGTGTCTTTGTGCGTCCTACACAAGGCGCGGCTGGGCTCTGGGCGGAGCATCGGTAGACTTCCATCGGTGTCGGGGGAGTGTCAGAGGAGGAAAGGTACCGATGTCGCTACCCTTGCCTCGTTTACGCCTGTTGGGCCGACCGCACCTCGGGAGATGTCCGGGGAGTAGTAATTTTCTATTTCCCAAGAGAGTCGCCGATGTCGGCCATCTGTGGGCCATTGTGGGGTCGGTCAATGTTGCAATGCACCCCGTGCAAGGAAGGGGCCCATATTGCCATGCGCCTTTTTCCGTCATCCCCTCGAGCCGCAACGCGCCATCACATGGGCTGCAGGTGCCTGTAGGCCTTCGCGTTGCCCGCCTGCTCATAACCCTCGAGATGTGTCCCTGACAGGTTCAGAACATATCGAAGAGTGTGTTGTGCCATGAGCGACCAGTCTGGTACGACTGTTGAACCCCAGGTTTATCAGAATCTGAACGTCTATTGTTCTCATCAGTTTAGGTGGTGCGTGGGGCTAGTGTAAATTGGGTTCGCTGGGCCGAGCGGGTTTCGAGCTGGGAGGTCCAGATACTTCGGATGCCAGGTCAGTTACAGGCTGCACACAGGTTGCACAGAAGTCAGCCATACGACGCGCATGACCCAGCACTGAGTGTCGAGCGACCAGTAGATGGCCCTGCCAAGTGCCCCCCCCCCACACACACACACACACACACACACACACACACACACACACACACACACACACACACACACACACACACACACACACACACACACAACACAACACACACAACACAAACACAAACACAAACACAAACACAAACACAACACAAACAAACACAAACACAAACACAAACACAAACACAAACACAAACACAAACACAAACACAAACACAAACACAAACACAAACACAAACACAAACACAAACACAAACACAAACACAAACACAAACTCAAACTCAAACACAAACACAAACACAAACACAAACACGCACGCACGCACGCACGCACGCACGCCCGCGCACGCACGCACGCACGCACGCACGCACGCACGCACGCACGCACACACACACACACACACACAGACAGACACACACACACACACTTCGGACCGACTCGCTCCTTCTCGGAGGATCTTCCGACCAGAGGGAGCCATGGCCTTGCAACAAACAAACTCGCATAGTTGGTCTGTCTCCTCTTGCCGCCTCTTCTGGTCTGGTCCAGGGCCCCATGGTCCGTCCACGGGATTCTCCGCGCTAGATCGCAAGAGGGTAGAGTACTTGTTTACATTGGTCTAACTCGCCCCTAGTGCGCTCCTACAGTCAATATAATATTTCTGCCAATATGGGGTCCAAGAGGCATGTGCATGTATCGGGGTATGCATAGGGCGACGTTCACGCTTTGATCCTCGCTGCGTCCGTAGTCATTGTTGATAACGGGGCGGGAGCACAATGCTAGCAACCCCGCCCCCCGTGCGCTTCCCTACCCTCCCTTCTCCTCCCTCTTTTTTGTTTTTGTTTTTCTGGGTACAAGCGCGGGGTGTTGCTCAAGCGGTCCATTTTTGTCGAGCGACGGCGCTCCAGCAGCCCATGTCGACAATACGGATGCGTTCCAGCATTGTGTTTTGTACCGGGGACGCTCTTTCCAGCAGCCCACGGCGTGCGCGCTGGCACTGCGTTGCTGCTGAGCGAGAGCGCGGAAGCAGCCCACGGTGGCCGCGCCAGCACTGGATTTTCACAGAGCGCGGGACTCCGGCAACCCACGGCGTGCGCTCCAGCACTGCATCGGAGGGAGTGCGCTCCAGCAGCCCACGGCGCGCACGCTCCAGCATTGCAGCCTTGCCGAGCGAAGGTGGACCAGCAGTTCCAGCCGGCGTCGACGTCGGTGTCGCCGTCGCCGCCGTGGTCGTCGCCGCCCTTGCCGCCGTCGCCCTCGCCCTCGCCGAGGCTTCGCCACGCGTGTTGAGGGCCACGGTCGTGGCAGGCTTGCCCAGTCGAGGTTCCCCGAGGCCCCCTAGAGGCCTCTGGAGATTCAGAGAGCACGTGAGCGGCGCAAACAAGGGGTCCGTCTTCACCGACGTCGGCGCGCAAGCTGCCCGCGTAAGGTCGCGCGTGAGCGCCCTCGTCCCCAATGCGGCGTGCCGCGCTGGCGGCCCGCGTAAGCTACGGCGCAAGGTCGCTGTGTCATTCGCGGACGTCCGTTTTTGATCGTTGTTAAGTGCAGAGCCCCCAAACCCGAGATCTTCGAACCTCACGGACCGAGGGACCCAAACATACGATGGATGGACATCTTCACCTCGCGGACCCCAGACGTCCCTCTACCCGTCTTCCAGGGATAGAGCGTCGCTCCAGAACATTCGAACATTTCTCATGTTCGAGCCCGAATACAGGGGCTCCAGGGTCCGAAGAAAAGCACTGGAATTGGACAGAACAACCGCTCGAAGTCTGAGTTAGGGGGCCCGAAGTTGGCCCCCGGACCTGTCCAGGGGTGCGTCCTGGTCAGAGTTCCCACGACGCGTTGCCTTGCAGAGGATCGGCTTCAGAGGGTCGTATTCAGCACCATTGAGCTCTCTGTGGAAATCGTCGAGGATATCTGGCCGTGGCGATGGTAGCCCCCCGATGGAGGCCCAGAAGCGGCAGACAGCGGGAAGAGAATTCGACCCTCTGGACCTTCGAGCTGTCCCTGAGATCCGATGAGCACTGCAACATAATCAACAACCACGACCCGAGCTCGCTAGAGGCCTCCCGGATGGGGTCCGAGCAAATGGGGTCGGAGGATCGGGCGGCGTCGACGATGCATCGGCGACGTCGGCGGTGCATCGGCGACGTCGGCGTGGAGAGAGTTGGCATCGGCATCGAGCCGCATCGCCGATGCATCGGCGATGCGGCGTGACCCTCTGACCCCACTACTCGGGCCCCCTCTGGGAGGCACTGGGAGGCCTAGATTCTATGGAGTCCATCTTTCTACACAATTGTTCGGGCCGGATCGATCTATGAGGGTATCGCGATAGGTGGTGTCATCCGGCCCGCCCGCCCCCTCCCCCGTCGATTGCGTAGGTAAAAAAAAGGGGTTGCGCAGTGCTGGTGCGCGCGGGCATACGGGTGGCTGCCCAGAGCAAAAAGGTTAGGTTTTCGGTCGACCCCCCACACCAGATAACCCAAGTGATCGCCGACAAATAGAAAGCTCCCTCTTGCCGCTTCGCCCAGACGAGGATGCACTTTAACCGCCATTTATTCCTCACCTCCTCCCTTCCGCGCCGTTCATCTTGCTCCTCATTGTCAGGTACATCTCGCTTCGGCCTACATATATCATATCATGTTATACCGCGTTCCCCGCCCACGCGCCACACGGCGTGCAGTCAAGTCGCATAGCACGGATGAGCGACTTTCCAAGGCTACTTGCATCCCTCCCATTCGGCTCATCCTTGGCGACTTTCGCTGGCCAGCCAAGCTCGGAAACGCCGACATGGCCCTCAAGGCCCTGGCACCCTGGCATCCTTCCCGCGATTCCGTATTAACCGCTACAGGTTCCTTCAGTTTTCGTCTCCCCGCCTTCTTTCGGCGGTGGATAGCTTGTCCTAAAATCTCCTCCTCCTCCTCCTCCTCCTCCTCCTCCTCCTCCTCGTAGCAATAGTAGTAGTCGTCGTAGTCGAAGCTGTCGTCGTCGTTGTTGCGCGGCGGGTGCCGCGGAACAAATAATTACTTACCCACCATTGGTGGTCCCCCAGTCCTTCAGTAAGGCCGCCACGAAAACGTGCTGCCCCCTGCGGGGGTGGGGGGTCTATAGAGACCCCCTGAGGGCTGTGCGACTCGACTGCCCGGCTTCTCTCGCCTCCACCCCTGCCGCCTCGCCCGAGGCCGCAGACGCCGTCGCCGTCGCGGACGCGGCGGTGGAGGCCGTGGCCGGCCTCGCGGGCGCCGGGGCGCGGCAGGCGCGCCGGAGGCCGCGGGCGGGCGGTCGGCGGGCGGTCGGCGGGAGGGCCCCCCCCGGGGGGGTGGGAGCATTGGGGCGAGCCGTGGCGGTCGGCGGCGAGGTCCGAGGTGTGGAGGGCGGCACGCCGCCGCAGGAATATGGGCAGAGACAACTTCCAGTCTGGACTGTTCCAGGGCCTCGGGGGGAGGGTGGCGGTGTACAGATCACCACTGGGAGCCACTCCAGTCGTGATTGCTCACGAGGTTGCGTCTGTTTCCGCGCCCTCGGATCTCAGGCAAGCCAAGCGGATGCTCACACCGCTCACTGGTCCAGGATGGGCACGGCGGGGCGCACAATATGTGGCTGGGGCCCTCCTGCTCCAGAGGCCTCCCCACGGACCTCCTGGGACTTCCCAGCTCCGCTCTCCCACGGGGGAGCTCGTCCAAGAGGGGTGGCGCGCGGCCAGCCGCGCTCGGGAGGTTCGGGGCTACGATCTGCAACGGCCCCCCCCCCCCCGCTGCGGGCGGGGCAGGCGCGGCGGGCAGGGATCCCCTCGCCCTGGGAGCGGGAGGCGCCAGGCCTGGCCCGCCGGGCGGCTCGAGTGGTTTCAGCTCCCGCGGTCTGTCCTCCGCCACGGCCTCCGTCCCTGCTCACTGGCTGCTGGACCCAGTCGCGACCGACGAGATCGGTCGCTGCCGATCTTGCTTCAGCTTCCAGGATCGGTGGCGACCGATTCTGCAATGGGTCGCGATCGGTCGCGATCGGTTCGGGATGCCGGTCGGTCGCCACCTATCGCGGCCGAAACATTAACAGCATGCAATCCGGGATGGGGCCGCTTTCGGGCACCGGGACACTCAAACAAATTCTTCCTGGTCGAAGAAGCTCGGGGGCGGAAAAGAGGGGGGTGATGACTAGGGGGGGAATATCATGGCGCCGGCCATGATATCTCCGCAGATTTCATTGCGCCTCTTTTTATTTCATTACGTCCCAGGCCCCCCCGCTTGGCCGCGCACATGCCGCCGGTCATGATTTGCACGCCCCCCTTTTGGACACCCACCTCTTGGCCGCTCCCGAGAAGAACTTGCTCCTGAGTAAGGGGTGTAAGCATGTTCCCCATAGCCGAGCGGGCATCACCCCGCCCGACAGGGGGAAGGAGCGGAACCAGGACGGTGGAAGGAAGGGGCTTGGCATCGCTCGGGCGTGTGCTTTTTTTCTCGACGAGGGCCATCGAGGAGCATCTCTGATCATGGAGCGAAAAGTACACGCACGAAATCGAAAAATGCACGGGGAATGGACGTCCGAGCGATGGCAAGGGGGGGGAGATAACAGCGCACTGTTCGTATCATCATTGCGGACCCTCCGCCCCCACCCCTCCCTGCACGTGAGATCCCGCTGGCCTCTTCGGGTTATTCGAGTGGCTTACGCCGTTCCGCCGACCCCCAGAAGGAGTCAGAGCTTGAAACGATCGTGGATGGTATCGAAAACGCCTACAGCGAATCACCGCCGCTCCCTGCCTTTTGGAATCGCCCATGTGGCCGAGCGTTACGGCAAGAGCTCTGCCAAGCTATTGGACCATGTGTTCCCCCCCCAGCCGTTGTGGAAAAACTTTCGGGGAACATTTTAGGGAGGGTGGCGGGGAAGATCAGGAGGAGGAGGAGGAGGAGGAGGAGGAGGAGGAGGAAGAGGAGGATGGGCTGTGTCTTGACTATACAGAAAAGAGACGTTGGTCGTTCTTCGTAGGGTCGTTCTTTGTGTGCACGGTCGTCCCTGGGGTCAGGGGAGAGTTGCTCCCGCCAGGTCGGCAATTTCATGAGGTAAAGAGGTGAACTTCTGCTGCGCCTCCTGCTGTGGAGCAGGAGAAGTAGGCGGAAGAGGGGACATTTTGGGAGCCTCTATGGGCACTCTCGGGGCCTCCTGGGAGCTTCTTGGGAGCCTCTTGGAGGCATCTTTGGGGCCTCATTAGGCCTCTTCGGGGCCGGGGGCCTCTTTGACCGTCTTAGGGCGTTCCTGGCCAGTCTGACGCCGTCGGAAGCCGTCTTGGGGGCCTCTCTGCGCGGGATGCCCCAGGGCCGTGTTGGAGGCCATTTTGGGCGTCTTGGAGGCTTCTTGGGCCGTCTTGGGGCCCTGTTGGGGCCGTCTTGGGGGCCTCTTGGGTCGTTCTGGGGCCATCTTGGAGGCCTCTTGGGCACTCTTGGCGCGATCTTTGGGGGCTCTTCGTCTCGGGCCGTCGAAAGGCCGAAAAGAGACAAATGCCACAATCCTTCAAACACCTAAGGCAGATCAATGCTTTGGGCGTTTTCGGGCCTTCCTGGTTAGGCCGTCTTGGAGACCTCTTGGGGGCCTCTTGTGCCGTCTTGGGCCATCTTAAGGCCATCTTGGGCCGTATTGGTGGCCTCTTGGGCGGAAGGGGAGGCATCTCGGACACTCTTGGGCCGTCCTGGAGGCCATCTTGGACCATCTTTGGCGAGCTTCTCGGCCATCCTGGAGGCCATCTCGGAACCATCTGGAAGCGGAACAACGTTTGCAACCACCTCCGGAAGAGCTTTCCGGGTGGCCGGCGCGCTGGGCCGACGCCCCGTGGGGGAGTGTGTTGGAATCCTTTCGGAAGAACAAGCCGTATAGGGTTCAGCACGCCAGGCACGTGGTTGATAAATCAACAGGGGGCGGCAGATCGAAGACGCCTACGGCGAATCACCGCCGCCCCGTGCCAGTTGGAATCGCCCATGTGGCCGAGCGTTGCGGCAAGAGCTCTGCCAAGGAATCGGACCATGTGTTCCCCCAGCCGTTGTGGAAACCCTTCGGGGAACACTTGTGGGAGGATGGCGGGGAAGATCAGGAGGAGGAGGAGGAAGAGGAGGAGGAGGAGGAAAAAGGAGGGGGCATCTTGGGAGCCTCTGGGGGCACTCTTGGGGCCTCCTGGGAGCTTCCTGGGAGCCTCTTGGAGGCATCTTGGAGGCATCCTTGGGTCTATTTTGGGCCTTGGGGGGCCTCTCGGGGTCCTCTTGGCTGTCTTAGGGCATTCCTGGCCCGTCTGACGCCGTCGGAAGCCGTCTTGGGGGCCTCTCTGGGCCGACTTGGGGCCCTCTTGGGGTGCTCCAGGGCCGTTTGGAGACCATCTTGGGCGTCTGGGAGGCCTCTTGGGTCGTCTTGGGGCCCTCTTGGGGCCTCTTGGGCAGTCTTGGGGGCCTTTTGGGCCGTTCTGGGGCCATCTTGGAGGCCCCTTGGGTAATCTTGAGGCGGGGCTCTTGGGCCGTCTCGGGTCATCGGATGGCCGAAACGAAGCAAATGCCATATCCTTCAACCACCGATGGAAATTAATGATTTGGGCCTCTTCGGGCCTTCCTGGAGACCCTCTTGGAGGCCTCTTGGGCCGTCTTGGGAGCCTTGGGGGCCTCTTGGGCCATCTTGGATCCATCTTGGGCCGTCTTGGTGGGTTCCTGGCCCGTCGGAGGCCGTCTTGGGGGCCTCTCTGGGCCGACTTGGGTACCTCTTTGGGTGCTGCAGTGTCGTCTTGGAGGCCATCGTGGGCGTCTTGGAGGCCTACGTCGTGAGGCTCCTTGCGGCCGTCTTGGAGGCCTCTTGGGCCGTTCAGGGGCCATCTTGAGGCCTCTTGAGTGCTCCTGGGGAGATATTTTGGGGCTCTTTGGTCGTCTCGGGCCGTCGGACGGCCGAACATACATGAGCAGCTGCCAAAATCCTTCGAACACCGATGGGATATCAAAGAGTTTGGCCTCTTTGGGCCTTCCTGGATACCATCTTGGAGGCCCATTGGGTGTCTTGGAGACTTCTTGGGCGCCTGTTGGGCCATCTTGGGCCGTCTTGATGGCCTCCTGGCCCGTCTGACGCCGTCGGAAGCCGTCTTGGGGGCCTCTCTGGGCCGACTTGGGGCCCTCTTGGAGTGCTCCAGGGCAGTGTTGGAGGCCATCTTGGGCGTCTTGAAGGCCTCTTGGGTCGTCTTGTGGTCCTCTTGGGGCCGTCTTGGAGGCTTCTTGGGTCGTCTTGGGGTCATCTTAGAGGCCGTTGGGGGCAGCTTGGGGCGATCTCGGGGGCATATCGGGCCTTCTTGGGCTGTCGGAAGGCCGAAAAGAAGCACATGCCACTGTCCTTAAAACACCTCAGGAAGAACTATGATTTTGGTCTCTTCAGGCCCTCCTGGAGAACGTCTTGGGGGCGTCTAGGGGGCCTCTTGGGCTGTCGTGGGCCATCTTGGAGGCTTCTTGGGCGGACTCGGAGGCATCTTGGAGCCATCTTGGGCAGTCTTGGCGGCTTCTTCGGCGGACTTGGGGGCAACTTGGACCATCATGGCCCATCCTGGAGGCAGTATTTGGCCAACGAGACCATCTTAGAAGCCATCTCGAGCCGTCTTGGAGATTGTGTGTGCACGTTGAGGTCGTTTGTGCGGCCTTCCGGGTGGCCGGCGGGACGGGCCGAAGCCACAATGGAGGTTTTTTCCATGGGAAAAAGAACCAACACGAAACCGTGAGAAGTTTAGCACGCCAGGCACCCCTGTGATAAATCAACAGGGGGCGGCGGATCTAAGACGCCTACGGCGAATCACCGCCGCCCCCTGCCCCTTTAGAAGCGCCTCTGTGGCCGACAGCTGGGCCAGAGCTTGGCCAAGCTATCGGGCCAGTTGTTCCCCGAGTCGGTTTGGAAAGACTTCGGGGAACGCATGGGGGAGCGGAGGAGGGGGAGGATGAGGAACAAGAGGAGGAGGAGGAGGAGGAGGAGGAGGCCTCTTGGGCGCCTCTGGGGGCACTCTTGGGGCCTCCTGGGAGCTTCCTGGGGGCCTCTTGGAAGGTTTTTAGTGGCCCTTGGGGGCTTCTTGGGGGCGTCTTAGGGCGTTCCTGGCTTGTCTGACGCCGTCGGAAGCAGTCTTGGGGGCCTGTCTGGGTCGTCTTGGGGCCCTCTTGGGGCAGATCGTTTATCAGGCAATCTTGGGCGTCTTGGAGGCCTCTTGGGCCGTTTGGGGGCCCTCTTGGGGCCGTATTGGGGGCCTTCTGGGCCGTCATGGGGCCATCTTGGAGACCTCGTGGGCGATCTTGGGGCGATCTTGGGGGCCTCTTGGGCCGTCTTCAGCCGTCGGAATGCCGAGAAGCCACAATCCTTCAACAACCTTTGGAACAACATTGATTTTGGCCTCTTCGTGCCCTCCTGGAAGACCTCCTGGACGCCTTTTGGGCAGTCTTGGAGGCCTCTTGGGGGCCTCTTGGGCCGTCTTGGGGCATCTGGAGGCCATCTTAGGCCGTCTTGGGTGCATCTTGGGCCGTCTTGGAGGCATCTTGGGGCCATCTTAGCCGTCTTGGAGGCCTTTTGGGTTGTCTTGGAGGCCTCTTAGGCCGTCTTGGGCCGTCTTGGGGGCCTCTTGGGCCGTCATGGGGCCATCTTGGAGACCTCGTGGGCGATCTTGGGGGCCTCTTGGGCCGTCTTCAGCCGTCGGAATGCCGAGAAGAAGCAAATGCCACAATCCTTCAACAACCTTAGGACAATCAGTGATATTGTCCTCTTCGTGCTCTCCTGGAGGACCTCTTGGAGGCCTCTTGGGCCGTCTTGGAGGCCTCTTGGGGGCCTCTTGGGACGTCTGAGGCCACCTGGAGGCCATCTCAGGCCGTCTTGAGCGGATCTTGGACCGTGTTGGAGGCATCTTGGGGCCATCTTACAGTGGGGGCGCGCATCAAGAAACCATCTGCTTTTCGACAGGGTATCCTGGGTTTCTTCGTTCCTCGCGCTGCGCGGTGACTTCCCGCAGGCGTTGAAGGAGCTGCTGCGTTCAGGGTGCTCAGGTTTCCCCTCCGGTGCACCTCGCGCACGGGTTCTCAGGGTTGGGTTTCTTGCGAGGGTTTCTTGCGGCCGCGCCCGCACTGTAGCCGTCTTGGAGGCCTCTTAGGCCGTTTTGGCGCCCTCTTGGGGCCGTCTTGGAGGCCTCTTGGGCCGTCATGGGGCCATCTTGGAGACCTCGTGGGCGATCTTGGGGCGATCTTGGGGGCCTCTTGGGCCGTCTTCAGCCGTGGGAATTTCGAGAAGAAGCAAATGCCAAAATCCTTTAAGAACCTTAGGACAATCACTGATTTTGGCCTCTTCAGGCCCTCCTGGAGGACGTCTTGGAGAGCTCTTTGGCCGTCTTGGAGGCCTCTTGCGGGCCTTTTGGGCAGTCTTAGATCATCTTGAGGCCATCTTGGGCCGTCTTGGGTGCATCTTGGGGCCATCTTGGCCGTTTTGGAGGCCATCTTGGCTGCCTTGGAGGCGTCTTGGAGGCCATCTTGGGCCGTCGTGGAGCCGTCTGGAGCAGGAAAAAACCTTTGCAACCGGCTCCGGGCAAGCCGGAAGATCTTTCCGGGTGGCCGGCGGGACGGGCCGAAGCTCCAGGGGGAGTTCTTTTGGAAACAAAACCAAAACCAAAACCGAAAGGATTCAGCACGCCAGACACCCCTGCGATGAATCGACAGGGGGCGGCGGATCGAAGACGCCTGCGGCGAATCACCGCCGCCCCCTGCCTTTTGGAAACGCGTATGTGGCAGAACGTTGGGGTAGAGCTTGGCCAAGTCATTGGACCATGTGTTCCCCGAATCGGTTTGGAAAGCCTTCGGGGAACATGAGGAGAAGGAGTTGGAGAGTGAGGAGAGGGAGGAAGAGGTAGAAGAGGAATATGAGGAAGAGGATGAGCAGGAGGAAGAGACCTTCTGGGGGCCTCTTGGGTCATTTGTGGGCACTCCTGACAGCTCTCTGAGGGTCTTTTGGAGGCCTCTCGGGAGCCTCCTTCCTTGGGGCTCTTGGGGCCTCTTTGGCCGTCTTGAGGCTTCTCTGGCCCGTCTGACGCCGGCCCCTGCCTTTTTGGAAAGCGCCCCTGTGGCTGAAAGTTGGGCCAGCGCTTGCCCAACATATCGGGCTAAATGTTCCCCAAGCCGTTCTGGAAAGCCTTCGGGGAACACATGGGGGAGGAGGAGGAGGAGGAGGAGGAGGAGGAGGAGGAGGAGGAGGAGGAGGAGGAAGAGGACCAGGAAAACGCAGGAGGAGGGGGGAGGAGGAGGAGGAGGGAGGAGGCATCTTGGGAGCCTCTAGAGGGAGGAGGGGGAGGAGGAGGAGGAGGAGGAGGAGGAGGAGGAGGAGGAGGAGGAGGAGGAGGAGGCCCTTTGGGAGCCTCTTGGGCTCTTTGGGCACTCTTGGGGCCTCCTGGGAGCTTCCTGGGGATCTCTTGGAGGCCTCTTGGGGGACTCCTTGGGCCTCTTGGGGGCCTCTGGGGGCTTCTTGGGGGCCTCTTCGGCCGTCTTAGGGCCTTCAGGCCTGTCTGACGCTGTCTGGAGCCGTCTTGGGGGCCTTTCTGAACCGGCTTGGGGCCCTCTTGGATGCCATCTTGGGCGTCTTGGAGGCCTCTTGGCCCATCTTGGGGCCCTCTCGGGGCCGTCTTGGGGGCCTCTTAGGCCGTCATGTGGCCATCTCGGAGGCCTCGTGGGCGATTTTGGGGCGATCTTGGGGGCCTCTTGGGCCGTCTTGAGCTGTCGGAATGCCGAGAGCAGGCAAATGTCGAAATCCTTCAAGAACCTAGGGGCAATGAATGATTTTGGCCTCTTCGGGCCCTCCTGGAGGACCTCTTGAAGACCTCTTGGGCCGTCTTGGGCCGTCTTGGAGGCTTCTTGGGTGAACTTGGAGGTATCTTGGACCCTCTTGGGCTGTCTTGGAGGCCATCTTGGACCGTCTTTGGCGGACTTGGAGGCCACCTTGGACCATCTTGGAGGCCATCTTGGGCCGACGTGGCCATCTTGGAGGCCATCTTGGACAGTCTTGGAGGATTTGTTCCCAATCGTCATGTGGTGTGGGATCCTCGTTTTGAAGAGACAGCGCCCCGCGTCCTCCCTCCTCCTCCTTCCCACCCTCCCTCCTCCTCTCACCCGTCATCATCACCATCATCGTCATCATCATCGCCGTCATCAGCACCATCACCCCTCACACGTTTCGTGGCCCCATAGGGAGCTCCACCGAAGGCCCCAGTACTGCCGGCCGCATGCGTCCCGCGCACCCAATTCGGCACACCCCTCACACGTTTCGTGGCCCCATAAGGAGCTCCACCGAGGGCCCCAGTGCCGTCCGCACGCGTCCCGCACACCCAATTCGGCACACCCCTCACACGTTTCGTGGCCCCATAGGGAGCTCCACCGACGGCCCCAGTGCCGCCGGCCGCATGCGTCCCGCACGCCCATTTCGGCACACCCCTCACACGCTTCGTGGCCCCATAGGGAGCTCGTCGTCTGCGTTATCGTTTTCGTCTTCATCGTCGTCGTCGGCGGCCCCTTCTCCTCCACGAGCGAGTGGGAGCACGGCCCACAGCCGGATCCGGCCGAGCGCCGCCCTGCCGCCGCCGCCCTCGCCGTGTTTTCGCACGCAGAGGCCGCGCGGCTCCAGCAGCGGCAGCAGCGGCAGCCGCAGCAGCCGCAGCAGCGTCGCCAGCGGGGGCGCCCGGGGCGACGCCGTGGCGGCCAAGACCACGAAGGAGCGGAGGTCGGACGGGGCTGGGACGAGTATATATATATATATATATATATATATATTCCCTTTTCTATATTTTTACAATCCGGGGGGGTGGGACCCCCCCCCCCGGGAAATCGGACCCCCGGAATCGGGTGCTTTTGGGGCCCCTTGGACGCCTGGCAAGGGGGTCTCCCGAGCCTTCCGGGCCTCCTGGACGCCCCTGGCCGGCCTTCTGCATCTCTGGACGTCCCTAATGTCCTTGCGAAGCCTCTGCAGTGGGCTAGCGGGAAGCTCACAAAACGGCCCCAGAGCCTACAAGACGCTCCAAAAGGCCTTCCAAGACGCCTCCGAAGACGCCCCAAGAGGCCACAATTGTTGATTCCCCATGGTGTTTTTCTAAGTTTTTGGCTTTCTCGCCTTTTCGGCTTCCCGACGTTCCAAGACGGCCCAAGAGGCTCCCAAGACCGCCGCAACACGGTCCAAGAGGCCCCCTACACAGCCCCAACACGGCCCAAGCGGGCACCGAGATGGCCCAAGAAGCGCCCAAGAGGGCAACAAGGCCCCGATAAAGCCTCAAAAAAGGCCCCAGCGGGCGACCAAACATCCCAAGATCTAGCTTTCCGGTCCACGAGAGCCCCAAGAAGGCCTAAGAAAACCCCAAGAGGCGCCCCAACACACCCCCACGAGGCTCCGAGAGGCTCCAATCGGCCCCCAGGAGCCCCAAAAAGACCCCATGAGGCTTCAAATCGACTCCCAAGAGGCTTCACACCAGCTTCCCAGACAAGCCCGAGAGGCGTACCACGCGATCCCCACAGGCCCCCAAAAGGCTCCCACGAGATACGCCACACGGCCATGAAGGCGTCCAAAAAAGCCAATGGAACTTCCAAAGGGCCGAAAGCTTCAGAAGGCCCCTCAAATCCCACAGTTCCGATGACGGCCCAACAGGGCCCCAAAACAATCCAAAAGAGCTCCAAGAGGGCCCATCTCCGAATCCCAGTTTCGCGACATTCCCGTGAGGCACGTGCGTCGCGAAACCTGCATTATGTCGATTTCGGTGTCCCACGTGCGTATTTCTTACAGCTGAGCCCGTGTTCTTTTACCTCCACGCTCGTTGTGTACATGCATCCGTAGCCTTCGGCTTTAACTTTTTCCCGTACCGACACTCGCATACCACCTCGAGCATGTCGGTATTCACCTGTTTCGATTGTGGTAACTGTCTCCCTTCAAACGCTTACTCCCCTACCCAACTGCTGCAATCCAATCGAGCCTGCATATCGTTCGCAGGGCAAGAGTCGAGAAAGGAAGGCGCAGATCACGGTTCGCAGCTCGACACTTCAGGTTTTCCTGTGATTTTCTATTCTTTCGGGGCCTCCGCTCTCTCGCCGCCACGTTGCAGGGGCCGCTTCAAAATTCAGTTCCAAACGCAATCCTAAATGAGCTTGCCGCACTTCAAGGTCAACATGGATGAGGCGAACAGCCATTTATGCTCGATTCGAAGGACCAAGGTGCATGGCGCGAAGCGCCAATGCAGTCTTGTGTATATATATTTATACACATGTATATATGTTTGTATATATACACACATATATAGTTATATCCGTTCTAGAGCGTTCCTGGACGCTCTCGGAGCGTTCCGGAACGCTGTAAGAAGGCCGGCGGCGCCCGAGGCATCCTCCAGCAGAGCCGCCACATCTCATATATTCTCAATTTGTCCTCACCCGAATTTGTCTCGTACTGTCTTCGAGGAGGGCTAGGGTGGGCTGGGGAAGGCGGATGGGGCAGGACGGCGACGACGCCTGACGTATGAGGCCACGAAACATGCGAGAGGTGTGCCGAAACCGGTGCGGCTGTACCTTGCGAACGCAGCTTCTTTGGCCTTTGGTGGAGTTCCCTGTGGGGCCACGAAACGTGTGAGGGGTTTGCCGAAATCAATGCGGCGGTGCCCTGCGAACGCAGCCATAGGGCCTTCGGTGGAGCTTCCTGTGGGGCCACGAAGCGTTCGAGCGGGGTGCCGAAATTGGTGTGGCGGTGCCCTTCGAACGCAGCCATTGGGGCCTTCGGTGGAGCTGAGCTCCCTCTGGGGCCACGGGCCACGGAACATGCGACGGGTGTGCCGAAACAGGTGCAGCGGCACGGCCTTCGGTGGAGTTCCCTGTGGGGCCACGAAACGTGTGAGTGGTTTGACAAAATCAATGCGGTGGCGCCCTGCAAATGAAGACGTTGGGGCCGTCGGTGGAGCTTCCTGTGGGGCCACGAAGCGTTCGAGCGGGGTGCCGAAACCGGTGCGGCGGTGCCACGCGAACGCTGCCATTGGGACCTTCGGTGGAGCGCTCACGAAACGTGTGAGGGGTGTGCCGAAACGTGCGCGGCGGTGCCATGCGGGCGCCGCTACTCGGGCTTTGGTGGAACCCCTTCTAGGGCCACGAAACACGCGATGGGGTGTGCCGAAACTGGTGCAGCGGCACCATGCGAACGCAGCCATTGGGGCCTTCGGTGGAGTTCCTAGTGGGGCCACGGACCGTGTGAGGGGTGATCTGAAACGGGTGCGGTGGTGCCATGCGAACGCAGCCACCGAGGCCGTTATGGAGCCACGAAGCGTGTGAATGGTGTGCCGAAGCGGCCGCGGCGGTGCCATGCGAACGCAGCCACTCGGGCTTCGGTGAGGCCCCTTCTTGGCTCAAGAAATCCTGGCTCAAGCCAGTCCTGGCTCAAGGCCCCAGCAAGCAGTGAGGCCCCGAAGCGACATGGCACCCTTCAGAAATTTGGAAACAGCTGTCAATTCTGAATCGGCATCGCAATGCCGCCGAGAGAGACGCAAGATGGCTGACAGCATCTTCGAACAGATGTACAACCTAAATGGTGCAGTATCCCGGCAGACCGACACGTTTGACAGCAAGATCAAAGAAATCAGTGCTACGACAGGAGGGTTGACAAATACTTTCGAGAATATGCAGCAGACGATGGGAGGGATGCGATGGATGATGCACGATATCACACTTATGCAACAGTTTGTTTTCAACCACGTGGTCCAGGTTCAGCATCGCTTGGACATATTGCTGGAACGAAAAGAACGGGAGCCAGAACAGCCCGGCGATGCAGCTGCAGTGCATGACGCCACAACCCGCATTGATAGATTGGAGCGTATCCCTGATTGTTCGGAACCACCAGTGACTCCATCAGTGGACGAAGTATTGGGCGAGTTATTAAAACGGGCAAACGATGTGGGAAGGAGACCGGACACGTCTAGCCATCGTGAGGCTTATTTCGAGCCCCTGGCCGAGATTTCCGGCGAGAGCAGCAGCGAGGAGGACCAGGAGCAAAAGCAGACCCCTCAGAATGCGAAATACTATGTTACACTGGTGCGTGGGAGAATTTATCCACCCGCCTGATCCGCACGAGGCGAATGGAAAGATTTGTGGCCACCAAATGCAAAGAGATAGTATATACAATTTCTCGGCCAGGCGTTGCGGAGCATGGAGGAATGCAAGATTTGGCCGGTGCCCTACAAAAATATGGCAAAATTTTAGCGGCATGCCCTCGCCACCCGAAGACTAAATTGTACAGGCGAGAGTTCGAAGCCCACTATGGAGATAGATGCCGGACTTTTGAATGGAGGCAGGCGTGCGACAATTTGCATCGGGGTACTTACGACCCAATGGCGAAATCTGACATCTTATTGCAGTTGTTTTTATGCCATATTTATTTGTTTTGCAGAAAGCGGTGCAAAACAACAAATGATTATACATCGGATGAGTGTTTGGCATCCTCATGCCCCGAACGGCGCATCACGCAAAGATGGCGAGATGTATTACCCACTCCAAGATTTCTTCTTCATCACCTGAGGCTCCCACTCTTTCCCGCGCTATGGCGCCATCGCTCCGTTCCTAGTGGGGGCGCGCCCCCGCGCGCAGGGAGCTGTCTTGTCTTGTCTTGTCTTGTCTTGTCTTGTCTTGTCTTGTCTTGTCTTGTCTTGTCTTGTCTTGTCTTCTAGGGTGACGAAACATGCGAGGGGTGTGCCGAAACCGGTGCGGCGGCACCATGCGAACGCAGCCATTGGGGCCTTCGGCGGAGTTGCCTGTGGGGCCACGGAACGTGTCAGGGGTGATCTGAAGCGGGTTTGGTGGTTCCATGCGAACGCAGCCGCTGAGGCCTTCGGTGAAGCTCATTATGGAGCCACGAAGCATGTGAGTGGTGTGCCGAAGCGGGCGCGGCGGTGCTATGCGAACGCAGCCTCGGGGGGGGGTCTGTGAAGCTCCTTATGGGGCCACGAAGCGTTTGAGGGGTGTGCCGGGATGGGCGCGGCGGCGCCATGCGAACCCAGCCGCTGGGGCCGTCGGTGTAGCCCCCATGTTGGGCCACGAAGCGTTTGAAGGGTGTCACGACACGGGTGTGGCGGTGCCGTGCGGGCGAAACCAATTGGGCCTCCGGTGGAGCTCCATATGGAGCCACGAAACGTGGGAGGAGTGTGCCGACAAGGGCGCGGTGGTGCCATGCGGGCGTTGCCATTTGGGCCTCCGGTGGAGTTCCCTGTTGGGCACGCGACGTGTATGAGGGGTGTGCCGAGATGGGCGCGGCTGTGCCATGCAGGCGCTGCAACTTGGGCCTTCGGTGGAGCGCCCTACGGAGCCACGAAGCGTGTGAGTTGTTTGCCGAAGCGTTCGCCACGCGAACGCAGCCACTGGGGGCTTCGGTGGAGCTCCCTATGAGGCCACGAAGCGTGTGAGGAGTGTGCCTTAATGGGCGCGGCAGTGCCATGCGAACGCAGCCAGTGGGGCCTTCGGTGGAGCTCCCTACAGGGCCACGAAACGTGTGAGGGGTGTGCCGAAATGGGCGCCGCAGTACCATGCGGGCGCTGGCACTTGGGCCTTCGGTTGAGCTCCCTACGGGGCCACGAAGCGTGTTAGGAATTTGCCAAAACGGGCGCGGCGGTGCCATGCGGGTGGGGCCTTTGGTGAACCTCCTTATTGGGCCACGAAGCGTGTTAGGGGTCCGAAACGGGTGCGGTCGCTGCCATTGGGGCATTTGACGGAGCTTTTTGGGGGGGAGGGAGCGTGTGATGGGGTGTTTTGTCATGGGCGCAACGGTGCGATGCGGGCGCTGCCAGATGGGCCTTCGACGTCAAGGTCGCCACTTTGCCTGCCTGCTGGGCTTGCGGTCGAGCCTCCGCCACGCCTGGTCATTTCTTTTTCGGGCGGGAGGAGGTACTTGAAACCTTCGCAGCTGAGTAAGAAGAGTGGAGAGGTCCTGCCCGAGTGCCACCAGGACATCTGGGCCTACATGATTCGATGGACATGGGCCTCCAGGCTGCCGTTGGGGCGCTCTGGTGGGACGACTTCGAGCTCTCGGTCTGCCTCCCGTGCCTGCCGCCGAAGGTCCAGCTGGCCAGCGAGGAGGAGCCCGTTCGGTACTGGGGCGATCGGGGCAACCTCACCCTGAGGGCGCTGCGCGGCAACGCTGTCTTCACGGACGGGTCGGGCTTCGCGGCCAACTTTCTTGAGCTGCAACGCTGCGGATGGGCGATCGTCCAGCTGCCGCAGCAGGGGCTGCCGATCCGTGCCGTGCTCGGGGTCCTCCCAGGGCCGTTGCTGACCGTTGGCAGACAGAGCGGAGCGGCACGCGTTGTTGCCTGCGGTTCGGTTCCTGGGCGACGCGGTCGGCTTCGAGGTAACGGACCTGCTGGCACTCGAGGAGGAGGCGCGCGGTTGGGACGCCTCGCTTGAGCAGGCCCGTGCCACCCGTGCCACCGTCTGGCGACGGCTCCGTGCACAGCCGTATCGTACTGAGGTCGCCTAGGTGCCTGCGCACAAGGAGCTGGGCGTGTACTTGCGGTACGGGCTCCACCCTGCACTGCGTGCTGGCAACATGTGGGCGGACTGGTTCGCCAAACAGGGCGCCATGGAGCACGGTGCGTCGAAGTTCTACGACGGCTTCTACAAGATGAAGGTCCAGTACTACAAGAAAGTGGCATCGGTTGCGGCTGGGCCCACAGTCTTCTGCGAGGTGTGCGTGGCCCGGTCTGGCGCTGGGACTCCTCGGGCCCTGCAGGCGCCGTGCCTCGGGCTGCCCACGGCCGAGGGCCGCAACGAGCGGGCCTACCTGTCCAACCTGCGGTCGCGGCTCAAGAAGCCCATGCTGGGCAGGCACCCAAGGACGGGGGACACTTTGTCTTGGAGCGCGTCGGCCATCTGATTGCAGTGTGCGCGGACGCAGGCAGGCTGACCTCCCAAGCCTCCACCGCCGACGTCCTCCTCGACTCCGTGGGTTCGCCGGTGTTTGACATGATGGGCTCATGGGCGTTCATCCTGGGCGCCGTCACGGCCCCGTCTGAGGGCCACCCCCGCGCGCTGTTCGGCCGACAGACGCCGCCGCGAGGCCTTGACACCTGCAGTCCTTCTACACCTCTCCGCTCTGCCAGCTATCCTCCTTAGCGTCGTCGTCCAGATCCTCCTTCTCCGCATCATGTCGTTCGTTTTCTTCCCCCGCCCCCATTCTGTCGTTCTCCTCCTCTTCCTCCTCCTCCTCCTCCTCCTCCTCCTCCCCCTCCTTCCCCTCAGCGTCCTCCCGTTCTCTGCGGCAGGCAGGGAGGAGGAGGAGGAGGAGGAGGAGGAGGAGGAGGAGGAGGAGGAGGAAGAGGAGGAAGGACAATGACGAGGGGTTAGGGAACTTGCCCAGAAGGCTTCAGACCCTGGGGGATCCCTTATCTGATGAGGGTGATATCCATGGAGTTCCACCAGCTTGCAGACCTTCGATTCGTTATCAGACGGAAACGGTTCTTCGGCCAATGCCCTCCCCGCGTCTGCTTCCACCTCCCCGTCAAGTTGCCGCTCCGCCCCCCCCCCCCCGAGCCACGTCGATCTCCAAAGGGACCCGCGGCATGGCCTCTCGAGCCTGCGCCTTCGCGCTGCAAGCCCGGCCGCCGCGGGCCGAGCCCCTTTCGGCAGAAGCAGCGCCCCTCTGGGCGCCCGCTCCCCCCCTCCACGCACACACCCTCACGAGGTGGCGCCGCTCACCCAGCAAAGGTGGGCACCATGGCCCTACCACCAACGGAGGCGAGTGCGCCATGTGTCCTCCGCCCTGTACGACGCCATTCCACATTCTGCATATATAACCAGGGTTATCACGCATGCATACGGAGCACCCCGCAGATGCGGATGAGAGTGAGTGGGCGGTGGGGGCGTCGGCAGTTCACGAGTCTCTGGAGAAGCCCGCCGCGGGCGCCAAAGTTCCACAAATTATACAACGAGCCCGCCGCAGGCGCCGATTTTTTTTGTTAAGCGGATGGGCCATTCGTGGGTCGCAGGTGGGTCGCGGGTGTGTCGCGGGGTGGGTCGCGGGGTGGGTCGCGGGGTGGGACGACGACAACAAACAACAACAACAACAACAACAACAACAACAACAACAACAACAACAACAACATCAACAACAACAACAATTACTAGCACGTGGGGACACTCCGTTCTCACCAGTGCCAGGGTTTTCATAGGAGGCGGGCAATACCCCCACTTTGTGGGGGGGCCGGTTCAAGCTCTACCAAATTTCCAAACGACTCTTCGCCACCACCCACACCCAGCTTCCCGCCCTATGACGTTCGGACACTTCACTTCGTGGCATGCGGACGACCGTGGCTACTATTCAGGGCCCCGCGGCCGACGACGACGGCGTGCGCGCGCGAAGAAAAAACGAATGTGTCCCGCATGGTATTATTTGACAGGGATGATGGCCCTGGCAGGTGCGCAACCGTTGTTGCAGAAGTTCGAAAAAGTTGCTCGCAAAAGCCCGTTTGACAGAAATGTTTAAAAAGTGTTGGGTTTCCTACGAATCCGCAAGAGCGCGCGGGATGAAATTTTGACATTTTTTTTTGAAAAACCATTGGCTTTTTGATGTTTTTATGTTAAAATCGCTACGAACACTAAGGTTTTGGAAGGATTTCGTCTTGCGCGCGCGAATGTCCACTTTACCTTATTTTTTGCAAGGGATTCTTGAAATTTGATTATATTAGAACAAGAAATGTCATTTTCTATTGTTTTTTGCAAGGGAAAGCGGATTACAACAAAACAACCGGATCCTGTACACACCCTCTTTTCTGAGGCTTCCTCACGAAAATGATGAAAATGTAGCTGCGGCCTAGGCGGCGCAGGGGGGGCGCGCACCAGGGGGCCCAACAATAATTATTCTTTAGAATAAATAATGTTCAACAACGACAACAACAACAACAACAACAACAACAACAACCAACAACAACAACAAACAACAACCAACAACACACAACAACAAACAACAACAACAACAACAACAACAACAACAACAACAACAACAACAACAGCAAACAACAACAACAACAACAACAACAACAGCAGCAGCAGCAACAACAACAATATCAATAACACGAGCAATACCAAAAACAATAACAAACACGGTAACAATATCAAGCACAATAGCAGCAACAACAATAACAACAACAACAACAACAACAACAACAACAACAACAACAACAACAACAACAACAACAACAACGCAACAAACATAATCCTCACCACGGATCCCCACTTCAGCCACGCACCCAGGGACAATGAATGAGCGTTCGGCCCCCTCACTCTGACCTGAATGGGTGAGTGAGTACATGAATGTATGCATGAATCAATGCAAACATGCATAGATGGGGGGGGGAAACGTGAACAATGAGCGAATGCATGAGTGCATGAATGCACACCGCCGTGGTTTGTCCACACCTCCGGGGTCTGGGCGGCCCACGCCCTCCGACACGGCAGCCACGCCAGGCCAAGCCTTCTGCCGTGACCCTCCGCCGCGCGGCGGCTGCGCCGGCGCGGGCTGGCCCGGCCGCGGGGCCCGCCTCGGAGGGGGCCCCGGCCTCGCCCGTGGGACCCCCGGGCGGTCCACCCGTCGGGCATGCCGCCGCGGGCGGCGCCGTGCTGCGGGGCGCTCTGGCGCCGCGCGCCGCCGTGGGCGCCGCGCGGCCCGGGCGTGGGCCGCCCGCGGGGCGCCGCAGGCGGCGCGGCCGAGGCCGGGCGCGGCCTGCGGGGCAGCCTGCCGCGGCCGTGCGGCGGGGGGAGCGCGCGGGAGCGTTCGGAGCAGGTCGCCCGGGGGGGCGTAGGGCTCGGGGTGCGCCGGGTCTCGGGTTTGCCGGCGCTTTTCGACGAGCGTGTCCTGGGTGTCGACGGGGGACTCGCGTCAGGTTTCAGGTTCGGTCTCGTCGCCAACCCGAGTATCCTCCGAACCGGAGTTCTACGCATCCCCGATGTCACGGGGGCGCAGAGGGGGGCGGGGAGGTCCCTGAGATCCTGGCCGAGATCCGGCGTCTCAGAACAAAAATCGAGGCGGAGGTCGTTCAGCGTTTTGTCGGCCTCTCGGGGCCCTTTGCGGGGCCTCGGGGTCGTAAAAAAGTGGTTCAGGATAAACAATGGACCCCATGGGAAGCGGCCGAGAAGTCGGAGGCCCGTGCCACGAAAATATCGAGGCGCCGGGTCTTTGGGGAGCACTTGGGGAGGGGGGGGGGCAAAGAGGGGGGGGGGCAGGGCCACACTCGAAGGAGAGAGCCAGTCGAGGCAACGGCGGCTCTCTCCCGCTTGTCTTGTTTTTCGTTGGCCTCCTCAAGGCTTCTCGTCGCCACGGCTGGATCCGCCTCGAGGAGCAGTCAGGACGGACCCCAGGAGGCGTCTGGGGACCGATTTTGAGAGGAGAGTGGAGGGACGCCGTTGTCTCAAGTGGCCATCCTCCGACCCACTTCTTTCTGGCGCGAGAGTCGCGGAAGCGCAACAACGGATTAACTTGGGCGCGTGGATCCGCGACGGTCCCCGCTTCCGTGCAGTGTCGGCGCGCTCCGTCACCAAACCAGGCGGCATTGGCCTCATGTTTTGTGGGTGGGGATGGGGCCTCCCCGATCAGTGGATCTGGCGCCCGCGCGCCCGGTCCACGGGTTTCCAATCCATGTTAGCGCGCGCCCGAAAGAGGCGGTGCCTGCAGCGCTCGTGGAGCAGATCACGGCATGCCTTCACTGAGGATGACTTGGCATCAGCATCGGTATCCTCCTCCTCCTCCTCCTCCTCCTCCTCTCCTCCTCCTCCTCCTCCTCCTCCTCCTCCTCCTCCTCCTCCTCCTCCTCCTCCTCCTCCTCCTCCTCCTCCTCTCGGCCATGAGGTCATCCTGACATACCCATCCCCCCCGTCTGGGGCGTTTGCCCCTGAAGGGGGTTGATCAAACTAGAGAGCCCGGCGACTCCATTGGCGGTCGTATTTGGAGCCGCCGTTGCGTGGAGGTACATTCACGTAGATATCAGCAGCTAATGAGGAGGAAGTGGGAAGGAGATATCATTACAAAGATGGATCGATAGATCGATAGATAGATAGGTTGTAGTTCGAAGAGGGTAGAAGGGAAGAGGAGGGAAGAGGGAAGAGGTTGTACCTCGAAGAAGGCAGATGTGGTGACGGCGTGGCGGCGGTGCGGTGGGGAGGGAAGTGCGGCGCAAGCGGTTTGAGTGCGGCGCGGCCGCACTCACCAGAGTGGATGGCGCAAGGGCCTCTTCCGACTACCCGTTGGGCACTCTCAGGGCCCCACTCCCGCCCGATGGACCCTCGCCCGCCGATGCGGGCGATGAGTTCCATCTGGGGGGGGCCTGGGGGCTGGGGCCCGTTCAGGGGTACCCGGTGGGGAGGCGGAGGTTTGCGCCATCCGCGGTGGCGGTCGCTGTTGTTGTGTCTCCGTCCGCCGCCCAATGAGATAACCCCCCCAACCCGAATCCCTCTATGGCCAGTGTAGGTCGTGTGTGGCCAGTAACAGCTGAGCTTCGCAACTGTGCGTCAGCACGGCCACGCTCGCCAAGGCGGTAGGCGCGAAGGCCTCGCCCCCTGCCCATAGGACCCCTCAGCAGGCGTCCCCCAGTCCAACGACAGCGACCCTCGCCTGCGAAGCAGGCGTAGGCTTCCCAAGGGGAGGACTGGTGGCCGCCTGGAGGGACTCCACCGAGTGTGCGGGAGGTTTGCGCATTCCGTAGCGGCGGCCGCTGTGGATTCTCATGATCATCTCCCTCCCCCCAATAACCCATCTCCACACCACGTAGTGGCAGCTGCGGTGCAGCGGGTGTGAGTCTTAGGTGACAACAGAGAGACCATGCGAGGAAGCTGCCAGAGGGGAGGAACACGGTGTGAACGAGGTCGGTGGCTGCCCATTGGTGT